GTTCAGATACAGTCATCTTGTTTCTTGTTTAATTTCTTAAGGTTTTTAAAATAATTATGCAATTTACCACCTCTCTTTCTAGCTATATTAGTTGAAAATATGTTTTCTCAGCTTGACCTAGTCAATACTGGAAAGGATCACACAATTTTAGTGTATAGTTTACCAACTACAGTTCACAGCCAGAACATCTAGTCATCATTATACTAACGTCAAAGCTGGATATTAACGGAGACCTGTGCAAGAAAACTGTGCAGATACCTTTTTATGACCTAGTTGTCCTTATGTAAAGGCTTTGTGTTGCATTTTTACTCACAGTATGTAACTCTACAAAAGTGTATTGAACTGCAGAAATGATGTGTGAGCATGCAGTTGAACCATTTGAGACTATTAAGTATTACATGCAGCTGTTCTTGAAAATAATTTTCAAGAACTAGACAGGAAGCTTAGTCCCAATGAAGTCAGACCTGACAGAGGCAAACCACCAAGCTTGGCTCCTAACCCTGCATTTCTTCTCTGGGAAAGATCAGCTGATGGCTCAGCAGCGGAAGGGGGATTCCTCCTCTGATCCAGCTGGGAGGGGTAGCTCCCCCTTCAATATTTCTTTTGCTTCAAGAAGATACCTTTAAAAAGAGGACTCTTCATCAGCTGCCTTCCCCTTGACCACTAAAGATTCTGTCTAATACTTCTCAGCAGTTTTAAGGACAACAGGCATCTAACATAGGCTGCACTGCTCAAACTCTACTTCAGGCTCCCTGTTCTTGTTAGGCCATACCAGCTTCTATACATATGGGAAAATGAGAAACATAAAGCAGTTGTCAAAGAGTAATAAATTCCTCAGTATTCAAAAAACTCAGACCGAGTAGTAGTACTGCAAGTTCCTTACATCCAGGCAGGGATTTAAAAAAAAAAAAAAAAAGTCTAAAAGACCTGTTAATATTCTTCTAATTAAAAACCTTGCTCTCAAAGTCTTTCACTTTTAAATGTTAGGCAACATTTAAAAATCAAAACTTCTTTATGTTAAAGTAACATCTGTTTCTGCTCTCCTTTTGACCCTACACTCTCCCATGTAAGATAAAAAAGGAGGAAAAAGTCTACAAAAGGAAAACTCAAATGCCATGAAAAAAAAAAGAAAAAAAATGGAAGAGCAGAGAAAAGGATGTGAAACCTAGAGGAAGAATAGCATTAAGGGTTTCAAATCCCAAATGAGACAAAAGGTCTCAGCTTCAGAGTCTGCAGCATCCCCCAAACACCGAGAAAAGAGAAAAGAGAAAAGAATTTAGCAGAAAAAAAAGCAGCAACCATTTCCATCTTCTCCTTCCAGCTTAAAAGACTTTCTCTAGCTCAAACTTTTCTGAAACATAATTCACTGATTTTAGACCTAGAAATAACCACTTTAAAAGGGATGTGTTCACTGCACATTAATTCTTTGTCTGCCTGAATAACAGATCAGAAGCTGTTAGACTATACCTCCACAACTTCACAGGTAAGGTGAGAATACTAGCAACACTGAAGAGACAAGTGGGAATGCAGGGAGAAAAAAAATATACATAAACATACTGTGCACAAACATACATATTTCATATTTTTCTATGTAGAGTCTAAGATGATGGTTAAAGTCAAGAAGGCCCTGAATGATAAGTGATTGGCTAAATCCTTCTTCTGACAGTGCTTAAACTCCATTAAGACATCTGACTCTATACATTATACTGTTGAATTTAGGGATGAACCTTCCTGAAAAGATATTTTGATGTTCCTTTGAGGTAAAAGAAAAAAACCTTCTATCCAGAAAATAAATATCTGCAGCAAGAAAAAGAACATGGCACATTCATATCTATTTTCACCCAAAACTAGAGGCTAAGGTATCTGGAAATTATCACTTTATCTGACAACTCTTATACAAAGTATTTTGTTATAAAACTAAGCAATCTCAATGTAATACTGATTGTTACAGAAGCAATACCTGCTTCTATAAAATGGACAACGATTATCTTGTTTATTGTTAAGTCCAGCACTCGGTTCTAGATTTCTTATCTGAGCTAATCTAACACTGCCTGGGAAATGAAAGAGGATTTCTGGTTTTCAGATAGTGAAGGAAGGAAAAGTTTGTTATCATTTGCACACAAAAGCTTTTCAGGAGTCAAAAGACAGAACACTTTTAGAGGTGCTTGAGCAGGAAAATACTTTCTGCAGGCAACACACAATGCATCCGACACCCAGCTCCTGGGCAGAATTTCATTTATTTATATCATCATGAAGGGTGATAACTAATTATTGCTAGCTGTCCTTAGAGAGGGTCTGTAGAGGATATACTGTGAATATAAGATGAAATAAAATGGCACAAATGAGAAAAAACCTCACTGTTCCTTTCCTGCATGTCAGCCATCTTTCTCACATTTTTCTCTTACAGTGAGCATGCTCCAGTTTATTTTAGCAAATTACGATTTTCTTAAATCAGCAGTAATGCTGAAGTAGTAATGTATTTAGAAATACTGTATAGTTTTCTATAGGATAATTGTATTACTTTAAAGCTCTGCATGAAAAACAGGACATTTAAGTTTGAGGGGCTCTTTTATAACATATTATGATAATTAGACCATATTTTGTTGTATTGGCTATGAATCTTATTCTTACTTTGCTTAATTATTTCAACATTTAGCATAGCTTAATTCTATTTCATCTATTTTACTGGCCAGCATGACTTGAACATTCAGAATGGACCATAAAAACATATTCCAGAATAAAATGGTCTATAAAAACATATTCCAGAATAAAACCTTGAATCCATAAAACATATTCCAGAATAATGGTCCATAAAAACATATTCCAGAATAAAACCTTGAATCAAAAAAATTCCAATCCTACTCAACTTTAATCTATGTGTCCTTAGGCAAATGTCTACTGGCTGGGACATAATAATATACATAATGGGAAAAGTTAGTAACTATATTATATCCCCCAAAAGTATTAAAGTATATATATCAAAAGTCAAAATGGCAATTTAGAACACTCTTATAAAATATGAGATTGTAGTATCATTTTTCTCTCTAGCTGAGTGTGTTTTCCTCATTGCAACACCTAGGCACAGTGCAAATAAAAAAGCAAAATATTCCATTAAAATGTCATAATTGACAGACATGCCCTTCCCCCCAATATAACAATGAAATAACTACCCTTTTGAAAGGTAATCTACTCAAACACACACTTGTTCAGGAATTTGAAGGAAGACTTCTCTTGAGGCTGTTGCATTACTAAAACTGCTTGACTAGTAACACTGACAGGTCTTAAAAACAAGATGAGCAGCACTTAGATTCCACCTGAACATCAGGTGCTCAGTATCAGAACAACACAAGGTAGGATTTTATAGTCTCCATTGCTGCAGAAATAACAAAGAGTCAGCTCAGAAACTTACTGCATCACACCACAGAAAACATCACAACTTTCTGATGTAGTTTTTCATTCCAAGAAGGAATGTAAGGGGTTATTGGGGATGAAATCTTCTCAGTTCTAGGAAGGAAGCCATTCAGTTCTCTGTTCCTCTAGGTAATGAGATGTCCTGCAAGCCGCAAAAGGCCTGGAACTAGTCTGTTACCTAATAAAGTCAAGTATATTTTTTCAAATGTCCATCTTCCTCATACAAAGAAGGAGCTTGCTATGCTACCCACAGAGCAAATTGCAAAGTCACAGCTGACAGCAGAATTAAGATGAGGGCATAAATAAAGAAGGAAATCAAAACTTTGAGAGCATAGAGGAGGAATAAAAAAAGAACATGAAGAATTTTACATATGTAATAATAGTATACAGCCATGCCAACCACCACAGCTGATGTCCTTGACTTTGCCCAAAGAGCAATATAGCAATTACAGCTTAACTCCATCTTTCATAAACACTCCTGGAGCTGGAAAACTACGGAGTGCTATTAATACAAGCTAAAGCAACCCCAGTAACCCCTCTAGAACAGCAATAATCAGTTTCTAAGGTCCCGTGTGCCTTGATTTCCACAGCCTGGCTCCTATTTAAGGGTACACAGAGTTTTCTGTGGCAGTGCAGATCCCAAATCTACCATAAATCATCTTTTGGCTACTTCAGAGGTGGGAAGGGGATGGACTTGTGAGGCCTGAATTACTGACTTTTAGTTATATTCACAATGCCTCAGAAACAGAAGTAGATTAACAGAGCTGAATAGCAACCTCCCCCCCTTAGTAATAACTACTGAAACCCTCAAGCCTCATACTTGTTACTCTGCTGAGGCAAAATTAATCACCAAGGTTCTAAATAAGCAGTGCCTCCAAAGCACCCCAGCACATGGCAGTACCTGAGAGGAGCAAAATCATTCCCTCTGACTTCAACTGTGCATTAACACAGACCTTTAATTTTCTGTGTCTCTTTACTAAAAAAAAAAAAAAAAAACTGGTGAAAAAGAAAGGGAAATGCAAAAGTACATCAGCAGTATTTGCCAGTAAAACTTTCAAACCATCTACCACGCAGTTAGGACTTGATCCAAAGCCCACCAACGTCAATGGGCTGAGGATCAGAACCTTATTCAGCTTTTGGAGCTAATTCATCTTTGAACTGACGATTGTATATTTAAGCTGCAGTCTCCACATATATCTTATTTGCCTCAAAGCTCTGTCCTGTCAAGTTTTGAATACCTCCAAAGGTAGATAATCCACAGCCTCTCTGGGCCACTGTGTCACTGTTTGGACATCTTCATGATGAAAAAAATTCTACTATCTTAGAAAAATAGAACTTCAGGGTTTTTTTCTTTTCTTTTCTTTTTTTTTTTTTTTTTCCAAAATCACATTGAAAGCTGTCATATTTCATAATGCTCATAATAAAAAGGAACAGAAGCAAAGAAAGAAGGAGCCACATGTTGACAAGAACCAAGAACCGAAGATATGAAAACAACTTAGGTTTGACTATGTCAAAAGAGACATAGAGCTGAAACCTCTTGACTTTTACACAAGTGTGCTCAGACAGCATCTTTCTGAGAAATAGCTCACCTGATCTCGGGAATACGGAGTATCCACTATGTGTTTGTCTGAACATGCTGCTAGAAGAATCTTCATTGCATTTAACTGGAGCAATATTTCACAAGCCATGGTGTCAAAGAAAGTAATATTAGCAAGAGCTGCTGAAGCCAGCAGGAAAACTTCACCAGACGAGGCTTCTTGGCACAGTTCTAGGAATGCAGAAAATAAGTTGAATAAAAGTCATTCCTTCATTTCAAAAAACATGGTTAGGTGTTTCAAAACAATATTTAAGTATCTGCAACTTGCATTAGTAATCTTAGAATCTAAGACCAAGTTCATAATCATCAAGATAAAAACCAAACAATTATCTTAATTTTGTCAATTATATAATATGTCATATAGTTAGGGTGCTTTATAAGCAATATTAACATTAGGCACCTTCATTTGAACCACAAAAGCAGGGAAAGAAAAATATGGAAAGGTAAATATAAACATAGACACCAAGTGTTTCTACCATTCGTCTAATTAATGAGATGGTCTACCTAGTATACCGTTATACAGGGAACATTCCACTGAATGTTGTTCAACATAAAGCTTGATATAACTAAATACAGGAGGCAGAAGGCTAATAGTAGCTGATCCATAAGAGAATAATTCTGCTATATATCCTATTCTTTAAAACAAGATATGCATACATGTTGACTATCTCTCAACCTATTTCTCCATAGTCAAAGATCATCCTGCATATTTTCCAGCTTCAGTAAGTGCTGAAGACCCATCTACCTGTTAATTCCTTGCACGCAAGTATTTTAACTAAGATCTGAATCACCTGGTAATTGGATTTCACCATGGTTTAAAAATTAAACGTATCACAGTAATTGAATTACTAAATTATAAATATTACAAGAAAACTGGTGTGAGATTACTGAAAGAGCTCTTCCAAAGTTATACGTGTTCTATTTTTAATGCTCAAATTTCTTGGGCAGAGTATATACTACTAAAATTCCTGTGGAACTTAAACAGTGACAATCAGGGAAATGCTCCACCTGCTAATATCTTCTGGATAGGCTGTTCAGCTTGTCCCTTGACTATGGTACACTGTAATAACCTGAAGAATCATCTTAAATAAGTCAGGTCAGATGACTAGCAGTGTAGCTACAGCAGCACCAAGCTCAGCACAGGTTAATTTTGCCCTCTAGATTCAGGGCAGGTTCAGGACAGCTCAGTAGAGAAGTATCCAGATGTATAGGTCTATTATACATGCGAAATCAAACTAGATGACCCAAACTGCACTTTCTGACCTGAAGCTCTGGGAAACTGAATTTCCAGATCAGAGATAGGAAGAGAACACTTGACTGAAAGCTTCTGTGCTGGACTACAGTGCTAGAAATAAGAGATTCCTCTCTTTAGGAAAGTAATGAGAACTATTATCTTATTTTTCTGAAGTGTCCTCACTGACCCAGGTTGAGGAGAAGCTTGCTGTTACCTTTGCTTCATTTTACCATGGATCAGAGGCCTAGACAAGAAAGACAGATTTCTTTATTTTCTGGTAGCGATGTCCTTAAAATATACTATACTGTATTTTTTTGTTCTGAAGTATCATACAAATGTAGATGCAAGCTTGAGTGCTAGCAAGTTTAGAAGATATAACAGGCATAAAGGTTAGCAACTATTAGAAACTGCTCTTTTACAGACAATCACGGGACAGGAAGATGCTTTGCTGAATCTTTCCTGTGGCTCTTACGATAGAATTTCATACAGATGTTATTTTGACAAATAAGTATAAATTCTATGCAAATATGGACTGGCGTAAAAAATAGTATGTAATTGCAGAATTTGTTATGGAAAGAATGGCAAACATTATTTAGGGAATATTTCGAATAAGAGTCCTACCCCAACCTGATATTTTAACTGTAGAGACTCAAAAGTCCCATAAAGAACTTACTGACAAGTGCTGTTACAATTTCTTCCATATTTTCCAGAAAGCTGCTGAGGTGCTGAGTGAACGTGAGATGTGGAGATGTGATCTGTGCAATTACTGCCGCTGCTTCTGCATGAGTAGCTTCAGAATGGCTGTTATCAGTAAGGATGTCAGCCAGGCACAGTATCCCATCAACCTATGGAAGAAAAAAAAAATAATGTATAGGTTGGAAATACTCCAGGAAATGCTTTTGCAACCAAAGACTGGTATACAGTTCTCTTTTCTTGGCTGTGGCTTAACTACTCAGTTTATTTTCAAAAAATGATTTAAACTTGGTGGCATTTATGATGCAAGAAGTTTCAATTTAGCAAGTACAAATTAATTCAGCATAAAAGTTTGTTGACCAGCAAAAAGTCTTGCATTTCCTTCTCCCTTAATGTTTCTGCTGAATTGATTTTGGTCAAACAAACAAGTCTTTTTGGACAGATGTCTCCAGTTAAACACTAATCCAAAAATAAACTCTGAAAAGCAAATGCTAACTGCTACTATGCCACAACCTCATTTAAGGTCTGGTCTGAGTGTGTCCCACTGCAAGACTTGAGTCTGAGTGTGAAATAAGTTCTTCACAGACATATATTTTTACCACTTTTTTTCTGAACTTGTCACAAAGCCCATGCAGTATCAAAAAATACTATTAAGGAGAAACCCTGGTCAAGCTGCACCTGATCAGCTTGCACAGCTCTCACATTAGAGCTAGGTCCATATATCCCTTGCTTACTTGGAAAAGAAACAGAAAAATTAGTAAAATGTAAATAGGTTTGTGCTCTTAGAGTGTCTGAAGTGTTTTAAACTCACTCCTCACACAATTTAGGCAGATACATCATATATGCACACCTTGCTCTGGATTGTAGGAGACCCACTGACACAACGAAAGACTGCAACAGAGCGTAGCCAGTGGGACAGCTTAAACTGCAGAAACGTATCGTCTGTTAACAGCCAAACTCACAAAGGGAAGTTCTCTGTAGACAAGGACATAATATGTGAACTCTCAAATTAACAGGACTGTTTCTCCCCCCTCTTTAACATGTCTCTAAATAATTCATCGTGTTGTGAAGCAGGTAGGTAGACATGCTTAGAGGGGACAGAGCATGAAAATTTATGTAATTAATTATGGACATGTTTATGTCAAATGCACATAAATTCACTACTTAAAATCTTTATATGAATAAAACTAGTGTAACTATAGGGACAGTTTACAAATGATCAGAGCTTTTACAAACTTCATTGAGTAATTGTTTTAAAAATTGGCCATGTTTATTTATTTAGTTAGTTATTTATTCAGAGTTCTGAAAAAGCATTTGATTGGACACTTTATAGATACAAAGAGGAGTTATGAAGGCTTAGCACTGAAATATGCTTTAACAGTCAAACACAAGCAACGCCAGATTTGTGTTGTACACTCACCAAGGCTCTTTCTTAGGTCTGTTGTTCAGACTGCATTCTCTGTCTATTCAAAGCTTCCTCAGATCATGCACATAAAGTCCTATCCATTATCTCCACAAAGGGTATTTAGCTAATCTCTTAGTCTCATTTGTGTTATTTATTAATACAGAACTTTAAGTTATCTTAATTACTTATCCCGCAATAGGCATGAATTAAATTATTTGATAAGCACTAACAGTTACTGTGTTTTACAAGAAAAGCTCTCAGATTGATGGGAGCAAAAATTACCCTCTGGAAGATCACTCATTGGGATGCACTTTTTAATAGGCAATAGACTATATCATTGGAACTCTAATAACATAGATAAATACAAAAGAAATTATATCTCTATTTTTCCTCAGATTACAAATGGGATTTAGTATAGAAGCTCAAGTACTGGCAAGGAGAGGAAGAATAAATTTTCAACATTAAACTTTTTCTTGACAAGCTTTCAACATTAATCTACCTACAGCAAAATATTTCCTCCTAGTTATGGCAGAATTCTACAGCTTGAAACAGCAGATTCACATAATTCACTTGGCTTCAAGGTATATTAATAGATCTCAGTGTCAAGAATTAATATATGTCCTCACAAGTTGATTTGGTAGCCAAAGTGTGCTAGACAATATCATATGCAAAAAAACCCAACTCTGTCACCTTGAAACCTCCCCAGATCACACCTTGTCTGAGGTCCAAAGGATGATAATAACAACACTCAGTATAAAAAGTCAAATATATTCCAAGGCATTCAAAAATTACTTGGCAAGAAACTTCTAAGATCTAGTAACAGGATATAGCACTCTTCAGCTCTAAATTTACTGGTTAAAATTCACTTAGCCAACTCTTATTCAATGACCTCAACAAAAATATTTCAGAGAAGTTTTATGCTATTTCAGAACAAGTAATGGCTAATGAAACACAGGTACAAACACACAATTAGACTTTTCCATCACCACTGATTGTTTATATCTGCACTATAAAATCCAAGCTTCTAACAATACAAAGCTGTACTCAAATTTTAAATTACATATTTGATTTTTTTATTTGTTAAGTAATTATTTTTTGAAATTGGGAGTTGCTGAATTGTAAATAGAAGTGGATATATGTTTTTATTCAGCATTATCATATTTTGGATTCCTGAAATCCAGCACTAGTTAGTTTTTCTCCTTTCAATTCAGAATCAATTAAATTACCAATTCAGACTAAAATTTGCTCTAGAAATTTTTTTCTCCCATCTTAAATATAGAAAATAAAATAATTCTACTTCACCAGGCAACCCCACTTATAAGTGTCTAGCAATAAATTTTAAAATGACAGAGGAACAATCTAATAAAAGCACTTTAACATCCAAAAAGAAATTGCTGCTCAAAGCATTTTTATAATTAGCTTTCACACTGAAAGGAACTTTGGATGGATGCCCTGTTTTCTGTTTAATTTTGGTGAAGTAATCAGCTAAATGTCAAATCTGTTCATCACCTTGGCAATACAAAAGAACCAGTTAGCCAGATAATGCAAACAAATGAATTCCGTGAATGCAACAAGATGCTGTGGAGACCCTGCATTTGAGGAATAGCGTTCAGTAAATGCTTGATCACTAATATTTCAATATTGATAACTGGGAAAATGCCAGGAACTTACATCCTTATGAGCATAGCCCTGTTATAGAAACTTAATCCAAGTGACAAAATAGATGTGTGACCGCTTTACTGCATAGATCAAGTCTTCTGAAAGGAAATAATTTCTTTTCTCTGCAAAAGGAATGAATGAGTTCTGGGGCAGCCCTATTCTTTCTTCAGTATACCTGTTATTCCTCCTAAAGATATTAAAGTAAATCAGGCATCTGTTAAGGATACCAGTACAGAACTTGGGGTGAATTGCATTAATGACTTCATGATTTAAAATATTACACACAACAACAGTCTTAACTCTCTGCTTTCCACAAGGATGTTCAAGGCAGGCTTTCCATACCACTTCAGCAGCCAAGACCCATTGCCTTCTTTTTCATAGTGTCTGTCTTCATTTATATAAAATGCTGCTGAAGGCCTTTTCTCATACTATGACTTTCTCTAGCATTCCTGTTTGCCCATTCTTAACATTTAGATCTCTACATATTGGTGAACTTTCTCAAATGTTTTTTTCACGTTCTCTAAACTGATCTCTCCAGTCATCTTGCTGAGATGGGAAAACCTTAGAGGCTATTGGCTGATTTGCCACTGTCAAATGCATAGGTAACACTATCAACCTACAACTGGGTGCTTCTGGTAAGGTTCCAAAGCAGTTTTAACTGAAGAATGGAAGGGAGATGTTGAGATCCAGATAGAAGACAGCAAATGTGGAAATAAAATCAAAGGGGATCATCTCTTAAACACTGTCTCAACCTTCCCAGGAGGGTAAAGGAGAATTTCAAAAGAAGCTGCATCAAACAGACAAGAACTGACAGATCAGAGTTGAGCATGTTTTATCATTTCACACATGCTGTGTATTAGCACCTCCAGCTTGAAGCTAGGACAGGTTATATAGGTGAAGACGTGAATAATAGCAGACTACACAGAAAATGCATAGCTGGATAAAAACCCAAACACATTAAAATTTTCAGGATGAAGAAGAGGGGGGGAGAAAGGGAGGAAAAATTATCGTAATCAGAAAATGTTTGAATCTCCTGCTCAGCATTCTTTGAACACAATCTACTTCACTCCCCAGACCATCACATGAACCATGAAGTCACTTCACTATTCTGCAAGTCCACTGAAAATGTCATCCAGCAGAATCCCTATACTGTTATTTTGATGACCTATTACTCATTAAATTAATTCCTGATCATCAAGGCTAAGTTATATCCTGTGTCAACTTCTGTAACTTATTCTGCACCTGTAGAAGGCCTGTAAGTATTGTTTAATTTCTACGTTGAAGGAAAGGAAGGGAAAAGGACAAAAGTATTCTACCTTGCACACAATAATCTTTCATATTTGGACAGTTGCCCTGCCAAGCGCTCTGCAGATAAAAACTGCCTTAGCTCCACTAACTGAGAACTGTGCTGATTTATACCAGATGAAGATTTGGTCAGCTATTTTTAAAGTGAGATATCAATAGAGTGATGCCATTAAAATGCCCACAAATACTATTCCAAGCTGTCCTGGGTTGAGTGAATGGTGGAGTTTTTTGGTGGCAGGGGAGGGGGCTATCGGGGCGGCCCCCTGTAAGAAGCTTCTCGAAGCTCCCCCAGCTCCAAGCCAGCTCCACTTCTGTTTTGGAAATTGAGCCAATCGGCTGCGCCTCTGCGATAACGTATTTAAGAAGGGACGTGGTGATGGGCAGTCGGACTTGTGAGGAGGAGTTGCTGCAGCTGCATGAACACCAAGGTCAGTGGAGGAACGGAGGAAGAAAGGAGGGGGGAGGTGTGCCGGAGAAGAGACCCCCCTGTATCCTGTGGTGAGACGGTAGGGCGGCCCCCCCCGCCACCCATGAAGACCTACGGTGGAGCAGACATTGATTTATGGCCTGTGGCTCCTGCTCGCATGATCAAGGTTCTGTGCCCGAAGAAGGCCGGGGTCTCATGGGAAAAGGCAGCCCCACTGTTGTAATTCAGTGCTGGGAGGATTGCAGCATGCGGGGGAGAGTCCCACGCCGGAGCAGCTCGGGAAGGGCTGCAGCCGTGGGAGGGAATCCAGTCGGAGAAAGTTTGTGGAGGACTGTCTCCTGTGAGAGGGGGACCAC